CTGCGATGAGCAATGAACACAATGAGCAAGTCACCAGCAAAACGTCCCAACCCCCCATACACAACAAGCCTTGTCACTCCAGCCCATTGGCGTACCGCCTCGTGAAGAACCTCAACTGCAGCGCCACCAAAATAACAGGCAACACACTGACAATCTCCCCAAGTCCAGCATACTGCGGCGCAATGCGTGCGTGTACAAAAGCACCCGCAGCCAGTAGTATCGCAAACAGGTTATAAACGAACGACCACGCAAAGTTAAGGTACACGCGGTGCATCGCCGCGTGGGAAAGATCCAGCAGCACTAGCAAGCCGTTGAGGGAAGGCCGCAGGAGCACGACATCCGCGGCCGTCCGCGCGATCTCGCTACCAGTGCTCATGTGAACGCCAATATCGGCCTGGGCGAGCGCGACGGCGTCGTTCGTGCCGTCGCCGCAGAAAACAATGCGGTCGTGCTTCCCCCTTACGAGACCCTTGAGGTACTTCTGCTTGTCCGCCGGCGAGCAGCGGGACCGCACGTTGCTCAGAGGGACACCGAGTTGAGCGGCCAGTGACTCCGTAGCACCTGCGTCGTCGCCGCTGAGGAGTGAGATGGCGATCTTGCGATTCTTCAGTTCAGCCAGGACGAGGTTGGTCTCAGGACGCACACGGTCTGACAGGCCGAAAACGCACATGGGTTTGTGCTTGATGGTGACGCAAAAGACCGTCAAGCCTTTGCTGAGGAGACGTTGGACTTCCGGCAGGTCTTCGAGTGATAAAAAGCGAGAATTGCCACAACGCACTGGATCGCCGTTATAAGTGCCTTCAATTCCTTTGCCAGCGATCGATCGCACGCCTGTCAAAGTGGCGGCTCGAACGCCTCTAGCTTTCATATGAGACGTGATAGCCGCCGAGACAGGGTGCTTGCTAATATCCACCAAGCCAAGGGTGACAGACAAGGCGAGTTGTTCGTCTGGCGCCAAGACGGCCTCGTCCGCGACCTGGAGCTTGCCTTCCGTAAGAGTGCCAGTCTTGTCGAAAGCAACATGTGAGACTTTGCGACCATTCTCATAAACAGTAGCCGACTTAACGATGATCCCGTGCTTCGCGGCCGCGCCCCCGCCAACCACAATGACCATTGGGACGCAGAGGCCGATCGCACACGGGCAGGAAACGATTAGCACAGACACGCCGTAAGTGATCGCGTTGACGACCGAGGTACCAGCACCCTGATGGCGGACGGCAATGCCAATTGCAATCCAGACCAAGAAAGTCGCTGTGGCGAGAACGAGGACAACGGGCACGAACCAGCTCGCAATGAGGTCGACTAGTTCCTGTGTTTTCGCCTTTTGGAACTTGGCCTCGTCCACCATGGCTGCAATCGTGCTGATTGTATTGTTTCCAGGTAGGTTTGTGAGACGAACGACAATGACGCCGGATCCGTTGGTGGAGCCAGCGACAACCAGTGAGCCGGGGCGCTTGTCAATAGAAAGAGCCTCTCCAGTTACCACGCTTTCGTCAACTTCAGTTGCGCCAATAACAACAACGCCGTCAGTCACAATTCTTGAGTCGGGGTCTACTCTGAAAAGATCTCCGTACTGCAGGAGGCGCGCATCTATTTCCCGTGAATTGCCGCCGTCCTGATCGCAGAGGACGGCAGTTTGGCGTTGGAGTGACCGGACAGAGACGGCCGCCACTGCTTTCTGCCTGGCGAAAGCGCTGACCAATCGGCCTAGCATAATCAAAGTGACAAGCAATGTGCTTGTCTCGAAGAACTCTCCAATAGGTAGCGGGCGGCCCCTGACTGCGAATGCGAAAGAGACGACAGAACACAGGTAGGCGGTCGTGGTGCTGAGTACAACGAGGAGATCCATCTCCATTGTCCTTGTGAAAATCAGAGCTCTCAAAGCGCTGACGTAGAATTGGCCGGCAACCAGAAACTGTACTGCAGTAGCAAGGGCCAGCGAGACGGCGCCGTAAACGACCGGACGGGGATCGAGAGGGGCCCAGGCCAGCACGAGGACGGGTATCGTGAGGACGGCGGAGAGCAGTGTAACCCAAGCCGTACGCCGCACATGTTTCTGTCCCGTCTCAAGGTCGGAAGTCGTCCGACGCGCAGAGAGCTTCAGTTCGCTCCCAAAGGCAGCTTCAAGAACCGCTCGTGCCCCGATGATCGTCGGATCGAAGGTAACGCGGATCTCACGAGGGCCGAGGACGCTCATCAGCGCGATCCCGACGGGGTATTTCCGCTCGACAAACGCCTTTGCATCAGCATTAACAATCAAGTCCAGATCTTGCCCGGTACTGCTCAAGCGCTGGCAAGAGAACCCGGTTGCCTTCTCAACGGCCTTAACAAGGTCGTCAACCGGGCAGGCTTGCTCATCAAGATCGAACTCCGCTTGCGACAACACTAAGCTGGTGTGAAGGTTGCTAACGCCGCGGATGTCATGCAACGCTTTGTAAAGCTTCGTCTCGCAGCCGGTGCATGTCAAGCCTTCAACAGACAGAGAAACATGCTCCCTGAATGAGATGCCTTTTTCAATGTCAAGACCCACGTCACTTTCCCCTTTTAGTCTTGCAGCGAAGCCGTCGAAGTCGCGGCGACAAGCGTTGCCCGAAGGCTTTTCTGTTACGGCGCTCCTGACTTCGGAACAGCAAGCCTTTTTTTCGGGTGCAATGCGTCCGTCGAGCTCACAGCAACTTGTCTTGTTTGGACGCGTAGCGGTTTTATAACATGGGGACTTATATGCATCTGAGACAGTGTTCTCCACTTCCTCGCCGCACGTAGCTTGCTTCTCACACGTTCCAGCTGTCTTCTCGGCGCAGATCTCTCCGCACGTCGTCTGGCACCGCTCTAGTTTGTTGGGTGTTGTTCTGCAGTTAACTGAAATCCGAAGAGCTCCCTCACCGGAAGCCAAGGATGGCGTCATGTCCGCGGATGATTTTCTTGGGCTGCGGTTGGACGAGGACGTTATACCAGCAGAAGCCGCTGGAGAGACGAGCGAACGCGACTGTTTCTTGCAGCAGGGTTCGAGGTTACGAGACGTGAGCTCTCTGCAAATGCAACCAACGCTTTTCAATATGTCTGCAAAGGTCCTCTGGGTCTTCCTGGCGTGTTCGCTACAGGCGCCGCGTTTGCGCTTACCGGAGGGTGATGAGGTTACATCCTCGGTGCCGCATCCAAGCTCTTCCACGCCGCACTCCAAGACGCAATCGCGTTCAGCGATCCTCTGGAGACAGCTTGCTGTGGGCTGATTGTCAGCAAAGAGCGCACATGGGCTTGTCCCTAGTGAGCCTACCGTCGCAACATGGTGCCGTGGTCGAGGTGCGGTGGGTACTGTCACAGACTCGGCACGTAACTACCGCTGTTTGGCCAGCCATGATTGATTTGAGAGGGAAAGGGAAAAACAATGGGAGAAGCTGCCTGTTCGTAGGTGTGGTTGTGTGCGACATCGGCGTAGAAGTGGCTATATGCCACAGAAACGGATGGAAGACCCAATCTGTACGCCACCAGTGGCGCGAGAACGCCACTTTATACGCCACATCGCTCACCTTGTCCCGCAACGCAGTGCGTCCCGCGTCCCCAGGATGGACGGTAGCCGAGTCTGCGATGAGCAATGAACACAATGAGCAAGTCACCAGCAAAACGTCCCAACCCCCCATACACAACAAGCCTTGTCACTCCAGCCCATTGGCGTACCGCCTCGTGAAGAACCTCAACTGCAGCGCCACCAAAATAACAGGCAACACACTGACAATCTCCCCAAGTCCAGCATACTGCGGCGCAATGCGTGCGTGTACAAAAGCACCCGCAGCCAGTAGTATCGCAAACAGGTTATAAACGAACGACCACGCAAAGTTAAGGTACACGCGGTGCATCGCCGCGTGGGAAAGATCCAGCAGCACTAGCAAGCCGTTGAGGGAAGGCCGCAGGAGCACGACATCCGCGGCCGTCCGCGCGATCTCGCTACCAGTGCTCATGTGAACGCCAATATCGGCCTGGGCGAGCGCGACGGCGTCGTTCGTGCCGTCGCCGCAGAAAACAATGCGGTCGTGCTTCCCCCTTACGAGACCCTTGAGGTACTTCTGCTTGTCCGCCGGCGAGCAGCGGGACCGCACGTTGCTCAGAGGGACACCGAGTTGAGCGGCCAGTGACTCCGTAGCACCTGCGTCGTCGCCGCTGAGGAGTGAGATGGCGATCTTGCGATTCTTCAGTTCAGCCAGGACGAGGTTGGTCTCAGGACGCACACGGTCTGACAGGCCGAAAACGCACATGGGTTTGTGCTTGATGGTGACGCAAAAGACCGTCAAGCCTTTGCTGAGGAGACGTTGGACTTCCGGCAGGTCTTCGAGTGATAAAAAGCGAGAATTGCCACAACGCACTGGATCGCCGTTATAAGTGCCTTCAATTCCTTTGCCAGCGATCGATCGCACGCCTGTCAAAGTGGCGGCTCGAACGCCTCTAGCTTTCATATGAGACGTGATAGCCGCCGAGACAGGGTGCTTGCTAATATCCACCAAGCCAAGGGTGACAGACAAGGCGAGTTGTTCGTCTGGCGCCAAGACGGCCTCGTCCGC